GAGTCTGACAGTGCCACCAGACAGTCTGTTAGGCCAGATGCTAAAATGCTGGGAGGATTTCAGAAGTTCTCCAGAGATAACTAAGGGGATTATGGTAAAACACTGTTATTTTATGTGGCCAGAAAAAGAGTTAGAAAAAGGTTATAGATGACCTCCCTGGGGCAGTGATGTCATATTTTTATGTCAATATCTGTGTTTATATTTGAAAGACCACCAGAAGGGATTAATTGAACAAGAATGTAGTAGGATGTGGCCAAAATTAATTGAACTAGAATATAATGAATGCAATGATATTTGGTTAAAAGGGAAGACATCTAGGAATAGGGTAATGAAAACAGTAGGATTATATTGGGCAAAAGAGAGAGATAAAGAAGAACAGAAAACAAAAGCAAAAGAAGGATGGGATACTATCCAATATGTACCCCCATCCTACCCACAGCATTCTCCTAGATCGGTTAAAGACAGGGGAGCATCTGAAGGAGAGGGGTCTTCAATATACCCTCGCTTACCAAACCCCCATGTGAGTCCAACTGCTCCTCTGGGTGATAATAGCAGAGAGGGTGATCGTTTAGATACAATATCCCCATCTAAATCTAGGATTAGAACCTAATATGAGGCTTCTCAAAGAAATGAACCACAGTTTGAAAAAATTCACTTGATGCCCCTGAGACAGATTCCTTTTTGGGGACAAGGAGGGTGAAGCTTGTGTTCATTATTGTACCTTTGACAACCCAAGACATCAGGGGCTTAAAAAAGGGATTATCCCCCTACCTGGATGACCCTATTGAGGTAGGGGAAACAATAGATGAATATTTGGGAAATGTTGATTACACTTGGAAAGATTGGGATTTCCTTTTGGGGATTTTGTTTGGACCTCAGGAGATAAGAATGATCCTACTAAAGGCTCATTAGGTATGGGAAGATGAGCCCCCACAGGCGGGAGGGGGTGGGCAACATGACCCAACGATAGAGGATGCCATTCCTGAAGTAGATCCCAATTGGGATCCAAATAATCAGGTCAGTTTAACCTGACTAAGAGATTATTGACCTTATATAATAAGGGCATTAAATATGGCATTTCCATGAAGAAACAATATGTCAAAGGCTATGGCTTTCAAACAAGAGAAAGAGGAAAGTCCTGCTATTAGGTTAGAATGAGCTAGGGGATGCCCTGGGAAAGCCGAGTGGATTGAGCGCTGAGAAAGCCGGGTGGGTTGGACCTTGAGGGACCAGCCTTTGACACACTGCTGAAAGTTCAGTTTGTCACTAAGTCCTGGCCAGGTATGAGAAGAAGGATACAGAAAGATGAAGGATGGCAGAATACGACTCTGGAAGAATTAATTAGAACAGCACAGCAAGTTTATATGAGGAGGAATGAAGAGAAGGCTAAAATGAAAGCAACGGTGATGGCTCAGTTTCTAAAACCCCCACCCCAACAGGGTGGAGGGGGATATGTCAGAGGTAGAGGAAAAGGAGGACGGGATCAAGGCACACCACCCACTCACCTGACAAAATGAACACCCCAAATAAGGTTGTGACAAAAGCAGGGTGCAAGATGCAAGAAGGAAGGACGCTGGAAAAACAGGTGTCCACAAAGAACAGAAGAATCCCATGAAGAGGAAGTCCAAAAGATAATGGAAATGAATTCTGGCTCTACCAGAAGTGAAAAAATAATTTGAACTATTTGTAGATGTTAAGCAGGGGCATGCTAAAGGGGGTTTAGTACAAGAACCTGGGGGTAATAGAAGGCCTGTAGCCTGTTTTTCTAAAATGTTAGAGCTGGTGAAAGGAGATGTCCCTATTGTTTACAAAACAATTAGAATAGGATAAAAGGGATCTAGCTACTTAAGTAGGCAAATCAAGGTAACTACCTGTATCAAAGAATCGAGAGCTGCTTAAACCCAAGTTCCTAAGAATCATTAATCGCTGATAGGGAGGGGTGGTTTTGCTAAGCCCTGTCTTTGATCCAGCTTCGATTTGTTGAAGATTTTCCATTTATCTATAGCTCTTAGTGAATCAAGCCTTAAAAGCCATACCTTGAAAATATTTATAGTTTTCAATTATGCAATGCTATGATACCTTTTGTTTTTATAGCTTTCAATCATTGCTGTTTTTTTAATGTCTTCTTTCCCAGTATAGACTTTGTAAAGTCCGTCGAATGTCCCATTATACTGTAACAGACACAAGAAGAAGGAGTAACAGTTAGAAGTACTGAACTAGATTGTAGGATTGTCAGATTTTTCTTCCTCACAGCAGCTACCTTAATTTTTTTCACAGAATGATAAGTGAAGGCTTTGCCTTCTCATTGGTTTCACTTACCGGGTAGAAGACTCCCAGAACTGGGTCCAAGGGGAAGGGGACCTTGTTTAAGAAGGGATCTTTGTATCCCCACAGTAATTCTTTCACTGTTCTGTTCTGCAGCATGGTTGACTTAGAAGATTTAATCCAAGTATTTAATAGCAGTTGTATAAAAGTGTTTGTATACAAGGAAGGTGCAGCCTACAACAGCAATAAAATTAATGTTTAGCATTAAATTCTACATGTGCTTTGGATCAAAACCACAGAGACTGATGCCAAGAAATCTCTGGCAAAGATGGATTCCAGAGTTGCAGCTCACTAAGTTAAGTTTCAACTTAAAACTGACAGTCCTTAACAAAACAATTACTGGGCATAATTTACACAAAAGAAGACAATTTGTCTTTACTGCTTACATGAGTTCACTAGATCATCCATAATCACAGAACAGTTGAGGTTGGAAGGTACATCTGGAGGTCATCTGGTCCAACCCCTCTCCTCAAGCTTGTCAAGGGGTAACAGGTTTAAATTGAAAGTGGGGAGGTTTAGATTAGATATCAGGAAGAAGTTCTTCCCGGAGAGGGTGGTGAGGCACTGGAACAGGTTGCCCAGAGAAGCTGTGGATGCCTCATCCCTGGAAGTGCTCAAGGCCAGGCTGGCTGAGGCTTTGAGCAACCTGGTCTAGTGGAAGGTGTCCCTGCCCATGGCAGGGGGGTTGGAACTAGATGATCTTTAAGGTTCCTTTGAACCCAAACCATTCTATGATTCATGTCCCTCAAGGATAAGAAAGTGTGAAAAACATCTCTCTGAACTCCCCTGTGCATATTTTGAAGACAAGTTTATGATATAAAGGGTGGACTCGAGTGGATTAAAGACAGCACTGTCTTGCAAGGCAGGCAGACCCTCTCTGGGAATTTAGGCTTACGCCAGTTTTTTTCTGAATAGCAAAATGGGGCTTAGATCCTCTGTTCCCATCTACCCTGACATGGATGCTTCCAGGCATGAGCCTATGTTTAGACCCATGAAGAGCTACGTAGTTCAAAGTAGGGGACCTAAGCACTGTTAATACCATGACATGAAGGACTCTGAGCATAAGATACAAGAACAGCTTTTGAAAAGAGAGATGCTGGCCTAAATTAGGATACAGTCAGAATACATGTGGTCTGAATAAGGTCATTTGCCTTTATTTATTTACAACTCAGGGGATGTCATCACAATATTCTCATTCTTAAGGGAAGCTACAAATAGGATGGAAGCCCTTTCTTCACAAGGGGTGGCATAGAAAAGACAAGGGGCAATGGGTACAACTTGCACCAGGAAAGGTTTCATCGTGAGAGAAGAAACGAATTTTTTGGAATGAGAACAGTCTATCACTGGAATGTTGTAGAGTCCCCATCACTGAAGGTTTTCAAGGTGCAATTAGACAAGGTGCTAGAAACTTTTATATAGGTTCCCTTTCTCAGAAAAAGGTTGGATCAGGTCATCTTTTGGGTTGTCTTCTAACATGGGCTCTTCTCTGATTCTGTGATTGCTGGTATGATTCTATTTTGTGTTTACACCAACCATCCCTTATGCTAGGGGCACACCAACACCACTGTGCCTCTAGCACCTACACTCTCACAGTAATCCTGAACACTCACACACAGACACCGTAGAGGTAGTGTAAGACAATCAGGCAACACCACCAGGATGGAATAAAAATATGAAATCTGTAAATATTGGTCAAGGACAAACATCTTCAGCCTGTGACAACAAAAGCATAGCTGGACAGCAGAGACTCTAGCACTACTCTAGGTGAGGACCACTGTGCTTTTCTTTGGTCTCAGTAGGACACAAAGGCTCAGGGGATGCCCTTGCAGTGGTGCTGAGGGGCACCATGGGGAGCAATCAATTGTGGCAGTGAGGCCCTGCATACACCGAACATGGGATTTAATACAGCCTCCTTTGCAAAGCAGGACTGAGCATATTATGGAAAGAGAATGGCAAATCCTCCTTTTACAGTTCGTGCCGTACCTCACACAGAAAATTAATCCATCCACAACCTCTTGGTTCCTTCCCACACTAAAATTGACTAGGAGGACGCTTTTTGACACATCCCATCCAAACTGATGACTTTGTTTCCATTGACAGGAGCAAGTCAATTTTTATTCACTTTTAAGATCACCCTAGGAATATAAGGAAACCTTAACACATACGCCATATGTGATCAGAATTAATATTTTTCCTAACACTATAATACAGATATTCTCAGTGTTGATTCCATAGAGAGGAAATCTATCCTGTGGCACTTCTAGTATTATTAATGCTAATTTCTCCCCTATTTCCTCCAGTATCTCAACATTTGAAGGTGTACACTATGGTTTTATTTCTTTTCTTACCACAACAGCAAGGTTGAGGCAGGTGATGGTATCATTTTCTGTCCCAACAGACATATCAGGTTCAAAGCGAGCAACGTTAGGCAACATGTAGGATATTGTCCCATCAGAGTTTTCCGTGATATTTTCTTTGGGTAAATATCTCACACTTGAAATACAAAATAAAAACATAGAACATTTGAAACATTTGATTTGAGAACGTTGATCATCATTTTTGTACATGAATGATAAACTTTTCATACCCACTGAAAATTTTCATGTGAATATATGTGAGTAATCCATTTTCTTTAATATATTTTTCTTCTGGAAATATTTTCTTAGTGCCTAATGGATTTTTTTTTCTTGATAGTAAAATGAAAAGAAAAAAGTTTTGATCTGATAGGCCTGTATTGCAACAAAAGAGTTTATTTATGGTTAAATCCATAATGGGAGTCACTTTGATAGCATTTCATATGCATGTGGAGATTTATAAGGAGTCTCTCAGCTCCACGGGGATTCTCATAAACCTCTCAACTATACCCTGTCAGCAGATCACTAAGGCACAATTCTCTGAGCTGCTGCAGTTCTAGATTTAGCACAAGCCTTCAAGACCTTGTCGTCTTGCAGACCCCTCTGCAGGGGCAGTACCCAACAGTCTATGCTGTGGGTCCACAAAGCTTGTTCCAGCTCCATCCCAGAAGGGATCTTCAGGGTATTCCATCAGATTTTCCAGCCTGGGACCAGCCTGGGTCCAAAAGGTTCAGAGAGCATTTCTCCATGGTCCACATGTAGCCAGAGGAGATGGGCCTTACCCCAAAAGTAGCTGGATCTTGGCTTTTCCAGATTGGTTTGTGTGCATGTCATTTTAATCAACTTAATGTGTAAAGCACACACTTGAAAGTTGGGAAAATGTTTTTCTAATTAATGTTACTTCTAATTGGAAACAAAAGACCTAAACCAAGGTTTCCCAACAGAATCGCAGGGACAGTTGCATTTTCAAGGCCAGTTGTTCTACACTGTAATAAATAATTAAATATTTAAATATTTAAAGGGAGATTGAGAGAGAAAGACTCAGTGTCATAGTGATTCAGGTAAACACAATATCCCAGGTGAGCATGACCACAGCAGTGAGAAAAGTTGTAGCAATCATTTTTTACATAGTCTCATCTAGGCTTTTGGCAGGGATTGGTCCCTGAGAAAATAGACATAATCACCACCACCAAACATTTCTGTTCATTTCTGCTGTATTTCTTAACTGGTTAGTTTCCTCATTCCTGTGTAACCATTTCTTATGCCTTCTCAGGTACCTTCTGAACCAGGAGTTCTCTATTTCCAGTGAGAAATAAATTAACTTTAGGCAAGAAAGTACCTCAGCTGTAGATGCTGCAAAGAAGAACTCTCTCGTGAATATAACAGACATCCTCAAAGATACCAAGAAAGAAATATCCTATCATTTTAGGAAAGCAATTTCATAACAAGGGTGCCAGTGCTAGCTGGGTATTGGGCTTAATGACTCATGAAGCAACAATTAGTCCTATTTAATAGGACATCACATTTAATATTAAGCAAATGATTAAAAGCTTCCCTGAATGGGGAAGGACTGCTGTATCTAGGCCCTAGCTAGTACATTCAGAAAAAGACATGTTTTTCAGAGGAAAAAATGAAAAATGAGAATATGAAAAGTAAGTCATAAAGGAGCAAAGAAACCAAACACATTATTGCTGTGGCAAACATCTTGCTGATGAGTAATTGTTTTTCCCAAAAGCAAACAGTTTCACACCCAATTACCTATTTCTATATGTGTTTACCCAAACTGAGACCCAGTACAGAAAATATTTGTGATTGCTGTGTGTATTGCACTTCAGGCATTTTTTTTCAAGATTGACTAAAATATGATGCTGGAATTGCAAAAATAAATTTTAACTCAGCAGAACTTTCTCTGAGTTCAGCAAAACTTCTGATATGACATGTCACATATTCAGGGGGTCTTTGCTTACCTGTATGTGTAAGGTCCTCTTTGTTCAAGTTTTGGACGTGCTCCTTGGTCTAATACCTCTGAAGGATTTTGGACATGGAAAACCCAAAATTGTCTGTAAACAGAACTTCCTGGCACAAGCCAATTTTCAAACGCAATGGTACCATTTGAAATAACAGCTTCCTAAAAGGACAAAAAATAAAACCACAATTATCCACAAAAAATGAGTGACAAGCTGCATTTACTTTCCAGATAACTTCAGAAGATTCCCAGACAAACAAAAAAAAAAGCTATTTTATCATCAAAATGAGGTATACAGCACACGTTTTTGGCCAACATATGAAGGAGCATTGAGATTCCTCCTCAGTGAGAGCAATAGTGAGTGTCCCTAAAATAAGTGGTCACAAAGCTGACACATTTACTACTGTAGCCAGTAGCAAAACTTTCCTACTATTGTGGTCAAGCATTGCCTTAGTTGTCAAATACTTGCCAAATCCACTTATTATTCGTAAAATCTTTGAATGACTGAATGATACCCAGAAGTTTTTAGAATCCACAAACTGGTAGTAAAAATTTAGAAAACTTTTTTTCAATTAAAAGAAAAATCTAGACTGCCTAGTTCCAACATATAAAATGCTTTCTTATTAGAGTTGCGCAATAATAACTAAATATGAAAAGCCCACAGAGTCCCAGGAATCAAAAGGCTGGAAAACCTTCAGAGAGCAAGAAAAGACATTTTAAATGACAAATTGCTAGATTTTCTTTCTACCTTAATTTTCTGCCTCTAGAGTTTGCTTAGCAAGCACCATTAAAAAAAATTAAAAATAAATAAAAAGGATGCAACCAATTGAGAGCCACTGCCATCAGAAACCAATGTCATGTCATAGAGAACTCATCACACAGGCAGCGCTTTGTCAGTGGAAAGCCTGTATGGTGGAGTTGCATATGTCTTGCTGCTGGTTTAAAAAACTGGGCTTCCTGTCTGAGTATCTGTTAGAATTTATGTTCATTTGTGTGAGAGGGGAAGGAAATCTTGCTACAGCAAACATGTTATCGGCCTGGGGTCTTGCACTCTGTCCCGAAAGCTAAAATTCTTTTTAGCCTGGTTTTGCAAGCCTCAGGAGGCCAAAGACTATGGAAGCTGAGATCCAGCATGGGGCAGACTGTCTTCTTGGTAAAGAGAGAAGTACTTACATGATTTTGAAATCAAGTTTTCAGTTGCCACAGAGAATTGCTCAAAGGATCTGGGAGAAGCAGGCTGATACCAAGAAAGAGATAACTGTCTGCTCACAGTCTCTGATATGTACTCAGCAAGGTCCTGGGATGGGGGAAGATGCCAGGATTTGACTTCCTACCTCTGTAACTTGGGTAGGGAAACAGTTAAGGATTCCTGGCAGCTACATGGTCAACAGGACACACTGATCTCTCTACAGGTCAACAACACACGGTAACATAGGTGAACAGAGAAGTTTTAACCCTGTGACAGTAGATTTTAAAGTAGTGTTACTTACTTCTTCAAAGTTTAAATTTTCCCCTCCATCCATTCCTCTCTCCCCTGCTAACTTTTTGATAGGGATTATAATATCAGAGTGGTGTGCAAACTACCCTGCCACTGCAGAGTTTGCTCAGAGTGTCTCAGCCATTGTTCCTCTTCTCCCATCCTTGAGAGGCACAGAAATAGTCCCCAACCTGTCTCTAGTTTTAGACATTCTGGGCACTTCAAAAAATTATTATTCTTCAATGATCACATACTACCACTTTTTGTCGACTTGAAAGAATATGAGGAATATGCTTCCTCACAGCTTTCTCCATGTAAATGAACTTATTTTTTCCAAAGGGTGATCTTTGCCTCTAATCCTCTCTCTGCTACTGCAGGAAAACCTGAGTATGCAGCACTTTATACCATTTTTTAGTGCAACCAGGACAACTTTCCACATAAATTGAAGCTATAGGCTATGTCACGAGCCTTTTCATGTACTTTCTGTACTGCTCCTTTCCACACTTCACTATACTAGGTACTTTCTTATCAATCTAGAACAAATTTGCTGTACACCGAAAGAGGTGTATTGGGACTCTGTTATTTTTCATGCAAGAATAACTACTACTTTGGGCTTGGTATGAAGGGGTCCCTGGGATCTGAGTACACGGGACAGGCAGGTCACAATCAGTTACTCTGTGGATTTGCAGCCCATCTTTTACTCTGTGCTAATGCCACCATGGACACTCTTGAGGGATGATTCAAGGGATGGCTGATCCAATCTGATTGTGCTGCAGCCAAAGGGGCAAGCCTTCTCCTGCGGCCCACGGTACCTGCTCCATATCCTCCCCCTTCCTCTGTGCCAGTTCTCATTCCTCAGGGAGCTGTTTCTGCCTGCCAGACTGGAAAAAGATTATTTCTGGGTTGGGATTCTTTTGCTGGATTACCTTTCTACCTGTGAGCCACTTGGCTCAGTGGTATGGGTAGGGGGAAAGATTAGATGAGAAACAGAGTTAAGATAAGGGAAGCAGCTAGACAAAAGAGGGAGGGGGAGGAAGGGAGTGAGACCATTACTTCTGGTGGCATTCAGCCATTATTGTTAATAACATTTCTCACACAAAGATGTTTATTATTCTCTGTCACATATTTTGAGAGTGCAAATGGTGGGCTAAAGTGGAATAAAATCCCGACCTCTGTCTTTATTGATGTCTTCATTTAATAAAACCAATATCCTCACACCAGAAATTCCTTGGGTTTTGGCTGTTTGATCACTAACAAAGCCAGTTCTAAATATTACCCCTTCATATGTCTGGTCACTTATATATTCCCCTAGTAACATTGCTATGCTTTGTGGTATTATGAAAGGTAGGGTAATTTGGGAAACTACTAATTTGCAATTAATAATATGAAACACTTCTCAGCATACATCAGCTCTAATATATTATGCAATAGTTAACTCTTGTTAGCAAAAGTAGCTATACAATATGTAATTGCTACACAGCCAAGTTCATCTCATGACCTAACTCTGCAAGCCTGAGTGAAATCAACAGAAACTTTAACCTCTTTTGTTTCTGACACACTTCTTCCCCAACTTGTGGTGCGTCAACTGCAATACATAAATTCAAGAAATGCTGAGCAGTCATGAATAGGAACTTGGTGTACTTTATGTCTTTACACTGAATTCATCCATCATGGTTACTGATGAAGAAATACAAAACGTAAGACAAAATTGTTGTCTTGACAAAGGATCTGGCAAAATGGTCATAAGGTGTAATTTTCTGGGAACTGAGATGTGCTTTTCTTAGGCTTAACCCAGAAACATAGCTTCATACCAGCCACAGTGAAGAATGTTAACTCTTTACTGACTAAAACCAGCACACATGAATACTTTTGGCTGTAACAAAATTGTTACTAGCTTATCCCCATGTGTTGGATGTGTTGGGCTGCATATGTAAGCTGGAGGAAACAATACAATTCTGTAAATTCCAGGAGAGCAAATAATCTCCCATTTTGCAGCTGAAAGTACAAATAGCCATTTATTACTTTTGAAGTAATGATTATTAGCTTATTATTAGTATTTCTATACAGGATTTTTTGGATCAAAACTTTTAATCCTTTTTCAGTCCCTGAATATAAAAAATTATGGAAGACAAGTTTATAATTGAGAATGCTGGAATATATGTGATTAGGTCACTTAGGTTCCGTTGAGGGCTGCAGTTGCTTTAGCTTATTAGTTTAGATAAAGAAGTGGCATATGAATGTCACAAACACAATACTAAAATAGAAGTGCTTCATATGCCTGCAGTAGCTGAGGAGATATAAGCTTGCCAATCATAAAACCCAGATATTTAAAGAGACAGATGGCTAAACATAATTATAGCTAAAATTGATAGCTTTATTTCTAAAAATAACAGAGACTAACCTTGAGGACTTTACAGAAAGTGTGCAGCGTTGAGATATTGTGGCCAATCACACTTTGTCCTGTATTATCAATTCAATATGTTATGTAACATTATGTGACGCTGTAAACCTCCTGAGCTCACGTACTCAGGTAGAAAGAAAAAGCTCCTAGAGAAGTGGTGATAAAGATTTTTCTGGCAAAGGAACCAGCTAGCAATTGGTTTGTGTGGTTTTGAATTCATCTTTCCTGTTGACTTTTTTTAGTGCTAGACAAGATAATGTCTAATGATAACTATAATAGACATGATAATGTGCCACTTAAATGTGTGGAGTCAATTAAAAAAGTACATTTTGAGATAGTCTCAAACAAATTATTTTTTGTAAATAACTCCATAACTTTCATGTTTCACTCCTATCCTAACTTACCAAGGACAGGTTTCTACCTTAAGGTCTTACTCAAAAGGCATCTTTCCCCTCTGAAAAGATTCAGGGTTTGAGGAAACTAGGATTTTTGCCTTTTGGTAGTGAAATTGAAGGCACATTTTAAGGGGCAAGTCTCCTTTCCATGAACAGTATCAGAGCTGAAATAGCTTAGTACTAATCTTGTTCAGTGGATCTCTGCCAAGATGCTGCTGGTGGTGTCATTCTGACTGTGCTCTTCAAGTGACAGTTTCTTTAAAGAGCCCCCAACGAGATTCAGAAAATGCATGTAATGTTAAAAATCTTTAAACCTGCTGGAGACAGGAGTAGAAACAGCTTATCCCCAAAAGATCTGAGACACAGGTAGAACAAACTGGGGTTAGAGAAGATAGCAATGTGTTGTGTGTTGAAGCACAGCTGTCTGTTAATAAACTGGAACACATGAAGGGGTGACATCTTGCTGTTACATGTTATGTGGACTTTGCTTGAATTGTTCACCCATGGGCTGTTGATGGGTGAAGAACAGCACCTGCCTGAGAGTCTCTGTCAAATTTCTAAGGGCATCTGAGATTGTGTAATTGCAGATGCCTTTCAACAAAATATGTCCTGCAGTGTTTACTGAAGTTAAACACCTAATGACTGCAACAAAGGAGAAATGAGGCTGCTAGGGTTTGGTAAACTGCAAAGATGTGTGCTTACAGAAAGCAATGTTCAGGCTTCCATGGCAAGCAGAACAAGAATAGCAAGAACAATTGCTTGCATTGATTTTTGAAATTAAAATTTTCCCTATATATTGAAAGATGCTAAGGAGCTCAACTGGACTTTCTTGAGAGTAAATTGATGATAATGTGATTTTACTAAATCTTGCTAAGTTAATTTATGACAATCTGATTTTTTATAATTTGAGGTGTCCCAAAACCATTCAGGACAAATAATTCTACTCAACATTTGTTTCTCTAATCCAGCAGTAACGTTTTATTGTAAAATTAACTTCCCCTCTGAATATAAATTTGGTCTTACTGTGTTGCTGTCAACTTGTGCAAAGAACTAGGATTTATGTGGAGATAGGGTAGGTAGAGGAACAAGTAGGGGACTTCTTCCGAGGTTTGGACTGTGCAGAATGTAAGACATGATTTTGTTTATAATGGTAATATCTGAAACAGTTTTTCAATTTTATTAAAAATATGCCATTTTGACATTTATTTTCTCCCAGTGGGTGAGGACCTATGTTCAAGCTTTGCCTCATATGACTTCAGATCATAATACAAATACAAAAATGGAAATACAAATGTTTACAGGCCCTATCTGAGAGAATATCTTGTTCATTAAGGTTTTTTCCTGTCCTAGAGTCTCCATTCTTGAGAAATTCCAGGTAAAACTGTGTTTGAAAGTGAGATGCTTCTACCAAACATCTCCTTAAAAAATGACATTTCCAAAAGTGAAAGAGAAAAAGTATTTCTAATGTTCTCTGTTCAGCAGACCTTTTAACTTTCAAGTCATCTCTATATTTATTTTAAATATAACTGCAGTGCATAACAAATATCTGGTTTTCTTACTAGCTCTTTCATTGACACAGGTCAACCAGAATTAGTTAGGTTCAGGTGCCTCAGTGACATCTGCTGAACTAATGACATATTCTACCTGTTGCACCTTGGCATATCTTTTCTGAAAAGGAATTGCCTTAGGGTCTTATGGTCTCACTAAATACTCACATGATAAATAATAAAAAAAAATCTGCTATGACTTGAGCTTAGGAAAAAAAAATAAAGCCTATACAAATTTAGTCTTTTATATTTTATGTGAATACTGGTGTAAGTTTTCTTTTTTAGATATATGAAATAAGTTGCTTTGAAATAGTTACAAGCATCTGAAGCATGACCACAATGCAGAAAATTATAAAGAGGTTGAGTAAATAAAAATTACTCTGTCCAATACTTTACCACTGAGAACTCATACAGGTATAATTTAATATGTAGATATTTGCAAATCATGCTGTATAACAGGTTCATTATTATAAGTAAACAAATGAACACATAACACTGGTAATGCCCCCTCCCTGGAAGTAAGTGTTCAAGGCCAGGCTGGATGAGGCTTTGAGCAACCTGGTCTAGTGGAAGGTGTCCCTGCCCATGGCAGGGGGGTTGGAACTAGGTGGTCTGTAATGTCCCTTCCAATCCAAACCATTCTGTGATTCTGTGATATGTGTAATTTGCTTTGGAAATACTTAATGGCATAAGACAGCACTCTGGATTAATTCAAAGTTAATATTTTGTGTAAGGAGATATAAGTTTTTAATACTATGGACTTTCTAAAAAACCTGCCATTCCCTCAGTAGGCCAATCAATTAAAATTATTTGCAAATATAGAGTAAAATATTTTGTAAAATGTTGCAAGGTGGGTGAGACATTATATAGTGAGAATTATTTTTATATTCTCAACAAATTCAAAAAGTCCATGAAAAATCCGATGAAAATTGGAAAACTCCTCTACAGTTAGGTTTTCATAGAGTTTGCTTACAAAATTTAAATGTTATGTAGAAGCCATTTTTTCTTTTTTTCTTTTTTTTTTTTTAAGTGTTTGTAGAATCCAGGCAGGGCTTCAAGAGTTTAATACTTCCTGAAATTTCATATATCCAACTCCTCAATCGACTTCAATAGCTGTTCAGTTAAGGGCAGTCTTCCCAAAGGGCCTTTGAATAAGTATTTCCAAGATCTTCAGGGACTTCACCACCACGGCAGATCATTAGGAGGACTAACTATCAGCCAAAGACCTCAGGATTTCTAGATTTTTGACTGTAGGAGATCCTACGTTGGATGCAGTGTCCCCAAGGAGACTCCATGTCTCCATGGTGGACACCCTAGGGTGGTCCACCCTGGGTGGACACTCCAGATTACTCTATGATTATAACCTCAGTTATACACCCTTTTGACCCAAGATTTAACACATTAACTTTTCATTTTTGTTTAAAGACAAAAGTAGATTTTAAAGAAATAAAATCATTGGGGGGGGAAAAAAAAAAAACAAACACAGGAAAAAAATGTGTCTGCCAGGTCTACAACACTCTGCTCCAGTTAGCCTTCACACTCCTTGAATCAAGATGTACATGATCAGATCCTGTAGTCTTGTGGAGCTTATTGGCTTGCATCATACAGTCACAGAATGTGAGCTGAATGCATCTAAGTGTAGGGTTAGATTCTGCGTCACAAGTTTGTTTAGATTATTTGCAGTACATAAATGTAAGTGCATGGAGTGAGTACCAAAAAAAGAGCAAAATGCAAAAAATTAAGTGGATCATCATGAGGAAAAATAACCTAGACACAAACATAATTAAAATAAAACTAAGAAATGCTCACTTCTAAATTACATCTAATGAAAATATGTTGAAAATAATATTTTGGCTTCTCAAGTGAAGCATGAAAGACAGCAAGCAAGTAAACATGAGAGCATAATTAATATATTAAAAAATATATTCCTGCAGCATCTATTCCTAGGAAAGTTTGGATTGCACGTATTACAAAGGCTAGGTTTAATAAAGTGGAAAAAAAAAAAAAAAGGTAAGAAAGAGAACAGAAGATTTAGAAATAATGACTAGTCAATAATCACAAACCATATAGATTAAAAAAAAAAAAAAGGTACCTTTTTTATTGCTTTGCCTATAATGTTATCTCCAACTGGTATCAGAACTCCTCCAAAGATAGCCAACACAGCACCGACGACGGCCCCAGTGAGGAGCCCACAGTTTCTGTTACAGCCCATTCCTCTCCTTTGTCAGGGTGCAGGCAGACAATGTGAAAATATCCTTGTTGCAAGGCTTGATGTTTTTTTCTCACTTCTTGGTCCCAGTAGACTCTCTGATTTTCCTGAGAGAAGCTGCTAATATAAGGAGAGAGTGAACAAAAATCACATTCCAAAGCTCAAAGTACAAAGTGCATGAGGTGAAGCAGGTAGGAAGATAACATGTCAAAAACAGCCAGCAGTGACAGCTGGTGCCAAAAAGAAAAAAAAAAAAAGGTTGGCAAGCTAGTCACTTGTTACATATCATTATCTTTTTTTATTCTAACTTCTAAAAGACTTGTAGGTTCTTTCATTAGGTTTTTTCTTTTTTTGGCTCTGTTGCCTTATGGCAAACTGACGTATTTATTATTCAGCTGACATTTTTTCTGAGGCAAGCACCTTCTCTAAGATCCCTCTGTGCCAAAGGAGGAGGCCATAGCCCTCTGCTTTTATCACAGCCTGCAATGCTCAGGGCTCCCACTTCAGGCAGACCCAGGAGTTGACAACACTGACGTAGGCTGCCCTGGCTCTGTCTGCATTATGCCAGCACAAAAACCCTCAAGGTCCACCAGCACTTTGGTGGGAATGGCAGCCTCTAATGGGAGACACCTATGAGAAGCCCATCTTTCCGGATCTCTGTCAGTCCAGTGTACTATTGAATGGACAAAACTTTGTTTCAGCAACTGCATGGCAAAGGCATGTCTGGATTTTCCTTTTAGAGTTGAATTCTGATCATCACCTAGTTTCATCAGTCCCAATTGCCTTACAGAAAGGCAGACTAATAAATCTAGATTTTAATCTTTGAAAGATGTAACACTTTATATTTCAATATCATTAAGCCTCAGAATAAAAATGTCTGCAATTAATCATTTTAAAACAATAGTTGCTGATAATATGTGCTAACATATCTTAAGATCTGGACCCTAATGAAAGGCATTGTAAAGAAAATCAGAACGATATCAGTGCTGGGAGATATGATAAAACATAAGACCCATTGATATTTTTTTTCTTATTCCTTACTATTTATGAATAACTGAGGCAAAGTTCTGCCTAATTTGCAATTTATTCTTGCTCAGGAATTAATCACATCCACAGAATTTGCAAGTTTATTTGCTTTAGACCTCCAGCTAACAGAAAATCTGCTGTTTTCTATTTTAGGTAATACTCTCCATATCTTTTTTATTCTTACCAATTTCTGTTTGTTAACGTGTTGTGATCATCTCTAAATCAATTTTAAAGCAGGTATTAGTTGCAGAGTTAATTACACATTCAAGGCTAAACGCACAGAGCAAAGGAAAACAGAAAGATTAAGTGAAAGAACAACTCCACCCGAATTCCCAGTCTACTCATGAGGATTAAAGGGCTAAAAAATCTTCATGGATTTATAAACACTAAAGCAGATGTAGGAATAGCATGTCTTTTATTTTTGTAAATGTGGTTATGAGATCCTTTTATTAAAAAAAGGACACATATGACATGTGCTGACATATAAGGTACCATGGTCAGCAGGCTAATGATATGGCCTCCCAGAATGACCAAAAGACTACTTGCAAACCCAGAAAAATGCCATTTAAAAAAGTCAGACAGTCCATCCACCTTCCACCAGGTCATTCTTTGTGGTTCCCACATCAAAACTCTAACCTTTGATTGCTTTACCTGCATATACAAGAGACGAAAAATTGGCTAAAGTTTTTTACTTTCCCTAGGGACTAAGAGCTGTCTTTAGAGCTGCAAACCTGGCTTTTCTGCTGGAGACGGTGCACCTTGTTTGAACCACAGGTTTACTTAGTTGCTTTCCTTTCTACCAGCTGTGATTCTGTGCCTTTGCACATAAAAGCAATAGCAACTCATCGAAGGGGTAACATTATGAAAAAAATCAATTTTTCCCAAATTTTCATGCAATTTGTGGAACTTCTCACAAAGATAACTGAAAGATGACTTGACTGAACTATAAAAACACCAAGTTATTAAAGACTCTTTGATATAGTGGATGGATGCATAATGTGCTGAATGGCAAACTTCAAAGCAAAGTCAACTTAGAAATTCATAAGACCTGAAGAACTTTTAAGTGAAAGGCACTAGGTCCAACGCTCATGTCTTTGTAGAGATGTTCAGATCAGGATCTTCAGCAGAACTATAATATGGCTGTGCAACTCATTGGATAAATGTTGTGTGGAATTTAAAAATCTGACTGCTGTTACACATTGTAGCAAATCTAAGGACAAGCAGGAATTCTCAATGAAATCAGAGTCTGACAAGTACATATTTCAAGTTGATTCTTTTCCTCAATGCTATCTATTCTGGCAGATTTTTTTTTTAAAAGTGTGGAAATACACACTGTAAACTTATCTCTTCCAAAGTATTTAAAGAGGGCTTTTAGGCATTTTCAGAAAATTTTCAAATTCAACAGAAATACACCTTCCACCAAAATACATTTCCACCTAAGTTTCTACAAGCTGTTCCAATGGATTTTCTTTGAGTTAGGCAGACTAGGTGTGTGTCATGAGCACTAACAATAAACAGCTAGAAAGCAACTGGTTGCTAATAACTTGTGTTTGTCTCAAGCTTTTGCAAAATGTAAATTATTGACCCTTCTCCCACCAAAAACAATGCAATAGCAGTCTAGACATAGTTCAATTTATGCAATTTGAGTTATCCATTACACAACTGCAATGAAGAGCACTCACAACATAGCACTCACTTTCACATAGAAGTCAACAAGCTATTTTCATCTATCACAGTGGGATGTAAAATATGATGATTAAAGTAGAAACTTCCATTTAATTAATTTACCTTAAGCAGAATAGAAAATACCATAACAAAATTAGATTTGGTCTGTGAGACTATCGTATCTTTTAAATTTAGATTTGTCTACAGAATTAGCATTATTCACCCCATTGTAGAGTGTTGGGTATGTAATTTTTAATAGTGTTTCATATGTCCTTAATAGATTTTTGAAAATGGAAATGGTCCATTCAAACCTCTGAAAATACAATTTATAAGCAACAATTTATATGTAATTTATAAACAACTTTCTTCCTGAACATGAGGAAAGATGTAAATATTAAACCTTTTCTTCCTTATTTAACTTATACTTCGTCACATGTCCATTTAAAGCAAGCCCCTATAAAAAGCTAAGAAAGTAACCTGTATATTCATAACGTTTCCTCTGGCTCTAATAATAATTTTTAAACATTGCCTGACATGGCATTACTTGAATTCTGTCAGAGAATCAGATTTATTGCCCCAAATGAGAGCATGTACATAGGGAAGAAGCAGTGTGTATAGTGAAAATTAAAATGGGTTTTGAAAATTCCTATTAAGAGTTTCAACCCAAAATCATAGTGTTTCTTTAAATAGAATTAGAGTTTCTCCAAGGTCAGATAGTAGTATTAAAATCCTGAAATTATTAAGAGATATATCTGCAGGGAAGAAGCTATTTCTGCCATTTTTTTTTAAATCTTTGACATACATTGAAATTAGTTTTGAACTTTTCATCTTCAATAGTAAATGCTACAAATATCACTTTAAAAAGATGCATTTCTAATAAATTCACAAAACTGATACTGTAGTGTCAAGAATGTTAAATATGAAAAGATCCAACGCAACTGGGAAACCCAGGAACACTGAACATAAAATACCATTGCTAACATTGTAATTAAGCATTTCTCTAATACATGAAAAATTTCACTGGTTTTTGTAAACATCTTTGCAAAATCTTGTCATTATATTTTATATTACAAATAAATATTTTCAAGAGCTTTCCACCAACTGATTTTAAAAGTATTCCTGAGGAAAAACTGATTTTAAATGTCATATCATATGACTCACCTTGAATAAGGGCAACTGACTTTTCAGCTGAACATACAGGTATTTAACACATGACTTGCATCCAGTAACAAGAAGACAAGCAGCTAAATCTCCCCACCAAGCACATACCCCCTAAACTCTGAGGGAGTGTTTATATATTCCAAGAGACGTCAGTTCCCTCTTTATCTTTTAGCCAAAGAAAAAAGTTAAGTTGTATTGGTTCGAGGGGGAGGAGTGTGGGGGGGAGGGGGGCGTTATTTTTACAGTCTGACTGAAAGCCACTACCTATATCTCGTGGTAATATACTTAGCGACTGCAATCTTGGTCAAATTTTGATCCAAGTGAGTCAAAGGTCAAGGAGACCAAAGGGTAATTTATTTACTTGTTTCCTGGTCACTTCTTCTCTAATATCTATTTGCTTTAAAACTGCTCGTATTAGCAAGTTATGACTAATCAGTTCCTGACAGTTTCTTTAAGATACAGAATATTTTCAAATATTCTTTGCTATATAGCTCTGCAGTATTAAATAAAGCCTGACTACTTTAAGCATTTTCTGCTACAATACAGGCTAAACACCTTTGCAGTTTAAACATCATGATGGTGTATTTTCAAGTAATAAAACTCAGGAAATATGACAATATTTTTAAAAGCTTTTTTTTTTTTCCCCCCACAGTTTGGATTACAACATTTCCTCACAAAGTGTGAGCACTTTTCCTCTTTTCCTGCAAGTTCAATAAACTTTATCCAAGAAGCTTCTTTTTCTTATGGTATCTAAAAATCTGCTATTTTTTGACTGACATCTGTGTAGACCAAAGTGTCACCCCAGCACTGTGTTTACTAATAATTAACAATAATCAGTTTGGCAAGCTTTTGCACAAATATTTTTTAATTAACTCCTCATCCAAGTTGAATAAAATGAATGGACTATTTTAAAAGATTCTTCTGGCAGCAGCAAGAGGATGTGATTCATATTTGGCTTATTTAATTACAAGAGAGAAAATATTCCTAAAAATAGATTCTTAGGTCCAGACTTTCAGGGTATAGCACTGAATAGTTTGTGATGCAGATGTTTAGTATTTGGTATGTGTTTTGACTGTTTATTGTTCTGGTTTTGATATTGCCCTGGTTGAAAGTTAAGCTTTTGTGGAAGAAGCTCCTTTCTTCTAATCTACTTCTGCTAAGTAAATCTAAGGTGAATGAAGATTAATGAATTTGAGGTTTATCTCCCAGTAGTGAAACCAAGCGTGAAAGCGAGCCTGGTCCTTTGAAAGTAATCTGTAGGACAATCTTTGTACACTGCTCGCTGCCAGGGAAGGCTGGTGACCCTGACTAACTCCAGTTTCACATCCTTGAAAAGTGGAGTAAATTTGCTTTGCTCTGTTCTCTAGTTAAAGAGTGGAGTTTAACTGCTGACAGAAGCAGTCCTCCACACTATAGTTCCCATGCACTACTTTTATGTATACAATCATTTCTATTGGACATACCCTTTTATGATGCTCTCTTGAGGATGATCTTGTTCGGGATCCCTCCCAGGCTGCACTCCTTTCTTACCTGCTGATTTGTTTATTTTTCTAAGAAGAATTCATTATGGTTACTCACACGTGCTTGTGGAGATGTTCCCTACCATGGTAGTTTTCTCCATTTGACATGTATGGGATTCAGTGTGCACCATTTTTAAGGGAGGAAAATAAATACTGCTCTCATTTTGTTTGCATACTAAAGGCACTAAAGAAGATGTAATGAAGATCAGTTTTCAACATATACATGTTAAATTGTATCACCTAATTTTGTGACTTATGATACCCTATTATCATCCTATATAAGCAAAATCTTGTCTATCAAGCAGTAAAATGAGGACTGCAAGGTCTAACTGCAGAAAACAGCAGAAAGGATATGAAGCTAAGAAAGAAACTGTGCACTTTTAAATATCAGTTACTTCTGTTCCTTAAAACTAGACCAAACCTTAAGCACTTAATGGTCCTTCTGTGTTCTCAGGGTTCATATCAGAGTTCAGAGGTTATAGGGGAGAAAAAAAGACAGAAAAAGCAAAAAAATATGTACTTCATCAAGGTCCCTAGTGGTGCAACAACAAAAAAACTACCCTACAAGGAGAAACTCTGATGAAGGAGAAACAGTGTAAATGACACTCACATGCTTCATGAAGACACAGAAAACCACAGGAAGCAGAAAACAACAAATGCAGTTGTTAACCCCAGATGAAGCCCACCCACATTTCCCAGAATAAACATCCTACTAACAAGAAAATGCTGAAGAACTGAGTGTGATTCCTGGCTTTTCTAGACATCTCATGGGGGGCCTTGTGGAAATCACTTTCTTTGGGGTGCTTTCTAAACAGAGAGGGAAAAAATGAGGAGAGTTATCATCTTTCTATATGCCCTGAGATTTCTAAACATTCAATGTCCCTTTTTTTTTTTTTTTTTTACATTAAGATCCCTTCCATCAGGGGATGACATATCTTTATGGTACATCATATAATTTGAATTTTGAGGATACCCACATAAACATTCCCAAATTCCTGTGGGAATTCTCTGATGTTCAGTACAGCACAGCATGATTTTATATCCCCATGTTTCCACAGTCACAGCACTCACGTTCTACTTCACATGCCTATTATGAAGACTGTAAAAACTAATTTTAACATTAGTCCCTTGTCAGATATGCAGTTGTTACCTGAGGTTAGGAAGCAAATTAGAAAACTCCAGAGAACTCCTGTCTTTACTTTTAAACATTCTAAATTTTTCAGAGGACACTAAATTTAAAAAAAAAAAAAAAAAAAACCACAAAAAACAAAAACACACAAAAAACTAAAACCACAACCAAACAACAAATACAACAACCTTCTAGTTGCTAGGCAAAAGGCCAAGCCCTGAGGCAGAAGATTATGTTAATTTTCTCAGCATCAAAAACACTATTTTCTATAACTTTTTTGGCTACTCTTCTTCTTCTAGGGTATGAGGAATTACGTTTACCTCCTTTCTATGGTAAGTAAAAGCACAGATTTATTGTTTATCTGGCTTATTCTATTAAATCATCTTATGTGGCTTCTACACTCCTTACCTGAAATCCTGTTGCCACCGTTCAGTGGTCCTCTGTCATCTACACAGTTATTAGGTCCCACAAGAAAGGTTGTAGCTTGTAGTGAAAGATATAAACCTTTCAAGAAAACTCACATAAAATAAGAACATTTGGTTCCTGTCCCCAGATAAGCTCTTTCTGATTCAACACACTCATGTTCATCCATGTCCACTTAGTTCTACTGAGGAGAAAAATGACCAAGATGAATTACCTACAGAAGAGTATGTGCAATATGCCACCAGCTGGATGAGACATCTGCCCCTCCACTTGCATTGGAGATACTAGGAGGTGTTCCTTTATAGGGAGTGAAATTTTCTATTCATGAAAGGTAGTTTGATTTCCTGTGTAGATGAAAATCTTCTGTGTATCACATCATCACATAATACATAAGAAGCAGTAGAAACTATCCACCCAGACCAGCCACAACAATTCACTTCTACTGCATGAGAGCCTCCCCTAGAGTGCACATGGCCTATCTTCAAGCACTGCCTATAAAGAATTTGAATATATAACACCCAAAATATAAAAATAATACTATAGAGCTAACTTTTTTTTTCCTAAATTATATCTTTAATATCTTTGTCTCAGCTATTCACTGTGACTGCTATTTTGCACAACCTCATTTTCCAAAACCTACAGGATAGAACAGACTTATATGACAGGAGTTGCCACCTCAATTTAAAAGAAGGGACTATCAAGGTATTTCAGTTTTGCCTTTAATATCTTATATCTAAGGACCTAAAAGAAAAGAAAGACATAGTTTCATAGCAGCGATTATTTTTCTTTAATTACAAATATTTGTGGCAAATAACTTTATCCAGGTGTACTGTGTTTGCATGGCAAGGTTTTGGTAGTGGGAGGGCTACAGGTGTAGCTTTTGTGAGAAGCAGCTGGAAGCTATATCTGATAGAGCCAATGCCAGCCAGCTCTATGATGGACCCACTGCTGCCCAACCCCTGCTCCCCATCCCTCTGTGCTGCTGGTGGAGAGAAGGTAGAGATTTTGTGAGTAAAGTTAAACACAGAAAGAAGGGAGGGGTGGAGGGAAGGTGTTTTAATGTTTAGTTTTTATTTCTCATTACCTTACTCTGATTTGATTAGTAATAAACTAAGTTAACTTTCCCCAGGCCAAGTCTGTTTTGCCCATGATGGAAATTACTGAATGATGCCTCCCTGTCCTTATCACAGCCCATGAGCCTTTTGTGAGATTTTTGTCTCCCCTGTCCAGCTGAGGAGGGGAATCAGAGTGGCTTTGATGGGCACCTGGCATCCAGCCAGAGTCAACCTACGACACCAGGTACCACATCTGACCTAAGAAAAGCTAATTGGTTTCCTCTTCCCTCAATAAAGAGGTATAAGCACATCCACGGACTCATCCCATCTACCTTAAATGATTATCTTGGGCAAAAATGAATAATATATTCTTTAAAGGTACTGATGTATTTAACTGCAGAGGATCTAAACAACTCACTTAAATTAGACATCTAACTTTTAGAAGGTTAATGTTAGAGGAATTTCACTCAAACTCCACAGAAAGGTCTTTCAGCTCCTCTGCTTGTCAGTGCACTGTGCCAACAATACCAGGACAGCTGTACGAGGCTCTGGTATGTAGAAACAGGCTGTGAAGCTAGAATAAAATGCAATGAGAAAACTTCAAAATATTTACCACCTGACATTAATGGGAAGTTTGGCCAAAGACTGCAGATATGCTGAGGCAATTTTGCACACCTTATCAGACTTTTACAGCAGATGTGTTGGCCTTCAAGGCTTTCTAGTGTATGCTGTGAGGCATACTCCAACCATTCATATCAACTAATCTTCAGCCCCCTGAAGAAAGATCCTCCCAAACATGCATTAATACCTGATTTCTCATCACAAGAGCTTGAAAGATTCATTCCAAACTGCTGTGTAGCTCCTACATTATCTACTAAATAGTCCAAGCTGTAGTTTTCCCAGCTGTGTGAAGTGTTAGGACCTAAGATGCTGTCCCTTGTGATTCTCAATGTGTTCT